GAGAGCACGGTTGATGTAATTGTTTAGCAGAAGATGCTCACTTCTCCATGGTAAAAGTCTGTTTAAGGTATGTAACTCGTCAACTTTGTAGAAAAATTCGCCGCACAGTACCCCTTACTTCAAAATTATTTATGATAAATCAATCTCATAACATTGAAATTCAACAATGTAAATTATTAACATTCGATGAAAAAACTGCTGAAAGAATCCATAAAGAAGCATGATTTATGACGGACTATTTCTTGTGGTGGAAGCATATTGAGCAGAAAATTCTGAAATAATCTAATAATTGACAGACTTTTTTGTATTTATATCAAGCACAATATAATCAAACATCTGAAATGAATGACGAAACATTTAGATATATTGATGGTGTATTATCAATATCAATAGCAACTCCCTTTCACATGCCGTATCGATATTTCCCAGGGAGCTTAAGATAAAACATACTATAAACAGAGTCCGACACAATTGTTTAATATTTGGAAATTTAACTTCAAAAGACGTTAGAATATCATGATTAACCTGATCAATTCCACTTTTTAATCGGCAATTTTTTAACTTTTCAAACTTTTGACAAATAGGTTGCTGAAATAAAAAACAGGCACGTTTTAAGACACCATTTTCAACTTTTATGGTTGGTAAAATGACCTTAAAAAGACTTACTTTTCCATACCTATTGTAGGCAGCGGCCATTAATTTTAAACACTAAATTGTCTAAGGATTTTTAAAATCTTTTTCCCGTTCAAACCAAGGAGCCCACTGATGATGGGATCAGTTGACAGTCTCACCTTTCCATGGCACCTGATAAAAACTCTGATGTTCTTTGTAAGCTCTACTTCCGATTTGTATTGTTTAGGAGACAATAAGCTGGAAAATTGTCTTATGAAGTATTTTTTATTTCCAACATTGACAAACATTCATATATATATGCTATTATGGAATGTAGCTCACCTGTTGTTCATTAGGTTTCTACTGTATTATTCAATATAATGATAACGATGTAGCATTTGTGATGTACCAAGCACACAACACATAAAATTTATCTCCTACTGCTATATATACCGGTATTCTCCTTTGTGTCATAGTATTTTTGGTTACCAGCTGGTACAATACATATGACACCTGAATGAACACGGATATCTACACATTATCTGAATTTTACAGTTATTCTGTAATAAAATGTAGTATATGTTTTTAGCATCACAAACAAGATGCTGTACCTGATTCTTCAGATTTATTTCAGGAAAGACCCTGTACTCGCAACAGAATCAACAAATAAAGTGATGTAAGTATTGATTTATGTTAATATTAAATGCTGAGGAGACCTGCAGCTGTGGATATTTACAAAATTGTCTCCGATCAAAAGAAACATTTGATTTTTCTAAAAGGACTGTATGCACTGGCTGATTAGCTTATTTCCCAGGCTAAAACTTAAGACAATATATCTTTTAAAAAACGATAATTCAGAAACGTTACGTACTGTTTGATTTACTTTTTGAGTAAGAGTTGTTTTTTTTTTTTGAGAAATTCGATTTTCAAAATAGTAGCAATTTATATAAATAAATTTCAAATGGGTACAGTCCACTAATTGTTTTTCCATAGGCGACAATGTTAAGGTTTCTTCTCATAGAGATGTCCCTAATTTTCGTGCAGAAGTGAGTGCCCCTCAGTTCAAAGCACATCAACTTGTCTTTCCTTGGTTAAAATCTTCAGGTGGCATGTCAGATTCGTTTACCGGCAAAATGTGTTTGTCTGCGGGAACCTCTAAAAAAGAAAGTGAAAGTAGGGGAATTTGAGAGTGCTCACTGGGTTATAATACACAAAATAATTCGGCTGATCTTCTTGATGAATTACATTTGCCAAGCTTTTTTGGTAGGAAAGATACTCCTTATCAACAAGTCTGAGACTAAGTACAGTACATCTGATTGATTGATTGATTGTATATTGTTTAACGTCCCTCTTGAGAATTTTTCACCCATATGGAGACGTCACCGTATGCCGGTGAAGGGCTTCAAATTTAGACCTATATTCGGCACTCAGGGCAACTGAGCAGTGAGGGTTCTTTATCGTGCCAGCGCCTACCGTGACACGGGACCTACGTTTTTAAGGTCATATCCGAAAGACCCGTGACTTTCACTTCTGATGCCGAGCGCTTGGCGAAGGAACAGTCGCTACCTATTTTTACGTCTTAGGTTTGACGCGGCGCCGGGAACGAGAATCGAACCCGGGCCTCCCGATCACGAAGCGAACGCTCTACCACTAGGCTACCGTGAACGGTCCAGTACATCTGTGCAATCTTTTTAATGCAAATCTGCAAATTAAGGAACTTGTAATTTTTTCTGCACTACTTTCTTCTCCTACCGCTTCTAAAAAATAATTATTGGGATGTACCCAAATGATAAAGAGCAATGTTCTTGCCAAAAAATGTGCAATAGTAGCACTTAGTATAAATAAAATTTCAAATGATGAAGAGCCATGTTCTTGCGAAAAAATTGCAAATACTATACTCATGGCTTTCTCTAATTCATGGATAATTAACTGTAGTTTTGAAAATAGCGATGTACATTAACTCTAGTTAAAAGTGGTATTCTTTATACCAAAATTTGAACACTTTGATAATTGAGGAAACTTTAATCTTCACTTTTTAGCTTCGGCCTTCGGCTCAGGTGAGCTTTTCTGATAACATTTTGTCCGGCGTCCGTCTGTCTAGCTGTCTAGCCATCCGTCTGCCTGACTAGTTATCTGTCTGTCTGTTCAATTTTCACATTTTAGACTTCTTATCAATTACTACTAGGCCAATTTCAACCAAATTAGCCACAAATCATCCTTGGGTGAAGGGGATTCAAGTTTGTTCAAATGAAGGGTCACGTCCTCATTCAAGGGCAGATAATTGGGAATTAATGAAAATTTGGTGGCATGCTTTAAAAATCTTCTTCTCAAGAACCACTGTGCCAGGAAAGATGAAACTTATGGGGAAATATCCTCAGGTAGTGTAGATTCAAGTTTGGTCAAATCCTGACCCCCGGGGGTGGTAGGGCGGCGCCACGAAGGCCGATCAAATTTTTATATAGAAATATATAGGAAAATTCTTTAAAAAATCTTCTTCTAAAGAATAACAAAGCCATAATTGATCATATTTATATGAAAGCATCCCGAGGTAGTGTAGATTCAAGTTTGTTGAAATTATGACCCCAGGGAGTAGAGGGGGGGGGGCAAAATGGCCGAAGAAATTTTTACATGGAAATATATTTTAAAAATTCTTTTAAAATCTTCATCTCAAGAATAACAAAGCCATAATTGATCATATTTATATGGAACCATCCTCAGGTATAGTAGATTCAAGTTTGTTCAAATCATAGCCCCCGGGGGGTAGAGCGGGGCCAACATAGAAATTTATAGGAAAATTGTTTAAAAATCTTCTTCTCAAGCAAATCATGACACCCGGGGGTGGTAGGGCGGGGCAAAAATGGCCGATAAGTTTTACATAGACATACGAGGGTTGTCCCAAAAAGTCGTAGACAGGGAAAACAATTTAGTTTCTCTTTGCTAAATTTAATTTAATAAATATCGGCCTTCATATAAATCGTCCCAATATTATTAATATGAAAGATTTATATTTAAGAATTCACAAATTTAAGGAACACTGAATATATTATTACTATGCAAAATTTGGTTAGTATTGGTTGCATGTTAACAAAGTTATATACATTGTCTACGACTTTTTGGGACAACCCTCGTATATAGGAAAATGCTTTAAAAATCTTCTTATCAAGAATAGCAAAGCTATGATTGGTCATGGGATTTAAACTTTTCAATAATAAACCAATTTCTACTTTTTCCTAGCCACAGTGCTCAGGTGAGCGATGTGGCCCATGGGCCTCTTGTAATTTGATTTTAATTCTACTCTGCACATAGATCGAACTGTTTTACAAATTCGAATTAGATCTATTATAAATATTTTATGATATTTTCCATCGAGATATAGCTAACCAATCATTGCTACTGAAAACAGCAGATTTTTTTTTAATTTTCACAATCAATTTGAAGATATACACACTCTTATACATACTTCAATGCTATAATACCAATTGTAGATCAAGACCATCATGGACTACCTGCGTTGAAGATAAGATGTGGGATAGTTATAATAATAAATGTGTAGGTAAGTAGAGAAGAACATATATAATGTTTATGTAATAAATATAAATGTTTAACAATTTACAAAAGTTTACTTGTATAATAAATCAGTGGAATGAAATTTCATATATAATAATATATAAGACCACACTCAATTTGATATCTGTATATTGTCTATTTTAAAATCTATATTAAAAAGATGTAAAATGAACCTTATGTTCCATTTTTATAATAAAGTATTGATATCTTTCAAGCATGTCCAGTAGGTTTCTACAGCACAAATTGCTCAAGGACGTGCAGGTATCCAAACTTTGGATATGAATGTCAAAATAAATGCAGATGCAAGCAGTCACTATGTGATCCTAAAAATGGATGTGCAATCTCCAGGGAAAAGAACAACACATCAGGTATTCACGTTTGATTAATACAATAATTGGTGTATTTGTAACTAGTGTAGTACTGTAATTTTGACAAACATGTAAATCTTTATTTTAGAATATGTACTTATAAGATTAATTAGATTTTAAAAATTTTATTCTATGGAAACAAACCGGAGATCAAGGATACCTATTCAACTTTCCTCCTGGTGATTGGGATATCTACGATTTCAGGTTTCCTGTTTGTTTGCATCCTATTGGCGGTGATTTCGACAGTCAACAGGAAACAATATAATCTTGAAATTCAGAGAAACAAACAATTGAACCATTCACATCTGTCAAGTCGAGCATCCCACGAAAGGGATATTCCTATTTGTAACAATTCAAGCCCTGAAATTTATCCTTGTACGGGCACCTATGAACATATTCATGTTTCTGTGGCGGAAGCGTAAAATTTGATTCCATCTTCTATTGAAATGCATTATAAAGCAGGTGTTTGATTTTTAGGAATCATGCCCGCACAGCATGGTAGATCTTGTATTCACTAGCAGAACATCGAGTGATGTAGCAGAGGAATATAGTAAAGATTTAATATTCCTTTTCTCTAACTTTCACTATCTTTATAAAATTCAAAATATTTGTAAAACCGTGAATTATAAGACATAAAAGCAAATGCTAGTAAACGTGAAATAATGCTTCAAAATAAAAAAAATACACTGACAAGTTGTAAAACAGTTTAATCGTGCATTGATCTTAATCATTTAATGTTCTACCGCCGAAACATGGCCAAAAAATTGCCGTTAAACAATATACAATCAATCAATCAATCAATCTATTGTACTATAATATACATCCTGACAGGAAACAAAAGTGACAATATGTTTGTTTCTTTTAAAATAAAATTTTGAAAACAATATCTTCATCAACTGGGAGATCAAAAAGTCATTAATTATACATTTATTTTTTTTAAATGAACCACAAACATTGTCTAATTTAATTTCACCCCATTCACTCATAGAACTACTGAAAGTTGTTAAAGATTATTTAATATACCAAAATTTGCATCAGTATCCATGCCAAACATTGAAAATTAATTCGATCTTTTTCGTTTGTATTGTATAATTTTCCATTTGTACAGTACATGTATTCACTTTTTTGTGATTTTTTGTTCTACATTTTCCATTTGTATTGTAAATAAAACATTTGAATTGTATAACATTTCATTTGAAATCTATATTTTCATATTGCATGATTTAATTTCATATTTTTATCGTAACAAAAAAGAATCAGATTAACAGGACTTTTGCCGAATAAATTTGAAGTATGCGATAAAATGCCGCATATTTGGTACTCAATATGTTTAAATTGTAATTAAAATAGATATTTTAGCGAATACATAAAGTGTAAAAGGTATACCACAGTAAATAATGATCCCTCTAAACAAAATCCACAAAAATGCAAATAACTATGTAAAAAGGACATTATATACGATCCCTTGAAATTCCAAAGATTGAATCAGATGCCTAAGAGGAGTAAGCGACCTAGAAATTCAGCCAATATAGGACTCAATGACGGGTTATATGTGCTTACAATGTCATTATAACGACCATAAATTTTACGAATTTCAGCTTATGAAATTCCTTACATAAACTTAACAGTGAGAAGCATGCCTTGCTTTCAAATTGAATCGTACTTACAGCAAAATCACAATAAGCGATTAGTTAGTTGAAACATATATTATTGTATAAATATTATACAAATGGTTTAAACTTACTAGGTTCTCACCATACAACTTTCAATATATATACATAGAGCAAAAAGGGAATAAGAAATATTGATGTACAAACTTTTTTAAGCTGAAAATATGATAAATATATAATTACATGTATATGAAGTTTAAGTGTAAGGCAGTAATAATTAATTAAATCTACCAGAATCTCTAATAAATTTTTGAACTGACTGAAAAATATATTTATTGATTTCTACATTTTATGACTCATCCCCCCACAGAAGTTATTGGCAATCAATAATGTTCAACTTAATATTTGGTTTCGTAAGACAGAATTAATCTCTGAATAGCTTTTCTCTAGCATGTTGGTACTTATTGCAAACAAAGAAAAAATGATATGGGTCTTCTGGTGTACCACATGAACAATGAGGACTCTCGATAATGTTTCTTTTATAAAGATCATATTTTCGAATGCAATTGTTTCGCAGTTTAGTATGTATGATGTTAAGTCGTTTATTACCATGGAAGTAATAAGAAGGGGGGGGGTCTGCTGGGTTTTTATGTATGTTGATTTTAATGCTACTGAAAACATGCAGTTTCTAGTGGTGATACTCAGATTATTCCATTGAAGCGATGATTGGTAACCCTGTAATTATTCTTGCAGCATCAAGCTGCACCTTTTCTAATCGTTCAACATCTTGTAAGGAACACCCATCCCAAACTATAGAACAATATTCAAGCAGCGATCTAATAAAAGTTATGTACATTTTAGAAAAAGTTTTTCTACCGATATTGTATTTAAGCTTTTTCAAAAGACCTAATCTTTGGTAAGCATGTTTAACTATATTGTCTATATAATCAGAACAATTAAGATCTTGGCTCAAAAGTAATCCTAAATGCTTATGAGAGGTTACCGGATATGTATTCTAGATTACATCGAAGAAATTGTAATTTTGGGAGATAATAATTGGATTTTGACGTAAAGATGCAATTTCAATCAACATTATTCTAATAGCTAGTCCGAACATCTTTTTTTTTTCTTTTTATACTCAATAAGACTTTAATATGGTTATTCATAACCCCCATAATGGGTATTTCCATTTTTCTTTAAAAATATAACAATTCTTTTCTTTTTAGTACACTAAATCCTAAACTGGGGATCAAAAACTGTGGTAAAATTAACAGACCTATATTGCAGGTAGATGTGCTGTTAAAACATAACTGTAGAGAGAAAAAGTAAATTATGTCGATGAGAACAAACCCTTAAACGTGAGAAGCTGTTGTCAAAAAAGTTTATGTAACAATGAAATCAGCAGTCTCTTTTAGATATTATATATGGCATTTTATTGTGAATACAAAGCAAATACAATCTACTGAAGTATTATTAAGTCAAATGCTGCCTGACGTTTTGTTTTTCATACTAATAGACTTTTACGAGAAGCGCTGACTTTCACAATCGACGCTTACTTTTACACAGGTAAAATGTACGGGAGCTCGTTTTTAATATAAACATTGAAATAAACAGTTGATAATAAAATACGATTAATTTGGTCATTTAAAGAAAATATTACGTTGTTCAGAAAAGGAATTCCCTGTCAAAAAAGTACTTGAGCTAACTATAATTAACATTAGTTTACTCTTAGTTAAGTAAAGTTACTGTATATTGTAATTTTTAAACTAAAGTTTTGACTAAAGTAAATCAAAACAATTTTACTATAAATTTCAAATACTATAGATATGTTTTATTTTCTTAATGTTCTACAATCATTTTTCTGACGTTTCTAGTAAATTATAGTTGACTATATACAATTTTTGTTATAGTTGCAACCGCCCTTTTTAAAACCCCTACACAATCCACAAATTATTATTTTAGCTCTCTATAACACTGGTTCATATTGTATACCATGTAAGCGCTCTGAATACAATTTTTACTTTTAAATTTTTCTTTTGCTAGATTATACGTAGGAGGAAAATGCAATTGATTAAATGATCCATGAAATCACTCTATTTGTTGATTATTTTAAACACATTGATATAGTCTTGTTTGTAGTCATACCGTATTAATTTTCCTTTTCTGATGTTTTTTCGGGACAAAACTGCAAATTATTCACTACATTAAATTTTCATGACAAGAGAATTTTGGATTGTGTATTTTTTGACTGGATTGCTCCCCCCCCCCCCGCCCCTGGTAAAAAAAAATACATGTAGGTGGAGTCGAACTACCCTTCCCTGATGAATGCCTTTTGCTAGGTGACAAAATTTATCCAAACCGACATCCAATCCAGGCACGTAGCATCGTTTTTGAAATTGGAGGGGGGGGGGGCAGCCTGAGATCTGAAATAATTTTTTTTTGACTAACCTGAAAAAGTTGAAAAGCAAAAAAAAAAATAATAATAAATAAATAAATAAATCATTTTAAAAATTGTCCAAACTCGAAAATCCTATTTCGGGGGGTGGGGGTTGGTAGGAGTGGCAAACTCTTTTCAATGCTAACTTCTTTCAGTAACAATTTTTCTTTACATTCAATACTACATTTCCCTAATATCGACTTCCTGCAGTATCAAGTGAGGGGGGGAGCATCCTCTCAATTACCATTTCCAATATTTAAAGTAATGTTGGGAAAAAAAGTGGGGTGGGATGGGGTGGGCCCCCCTGTTGCTACGTGCTTGCAATCATAACCCTTTTCACTATACAACAGATACACGGTCGGAGTGTTGCTGATATAAGGAAGTTGTCGGAAATTGCATGAATAGCCTGATTTCAGAAGACGTGTACGGTAGAGCGCACAATATGTAAATCCAAAAGTATATGATACTGAGTAGTGTAAGGAGAAAACGTAGATATGAATTACGACGAGTTTTTTTATATTGTATAAGGCCTCATTTATAGAAGAAATGAAAAATAAAACATTTCATTACAATTATTTTTCTTCAATCAATATAAAGAGTATAAGTTTGAAATTTTAGGTTATTTTTTTAATTGAAAAGTTGATGCTTAGATTGGTATATTTTATAGCTTCATTTATTTGAAATACCAGTTACTGTACTTTTAGAATTTTCAATCACTTTTAGTTAATATGTCTTTTTTTTAACTGGAAAGGTATAATCAATTTTTTTCTTAAAGAAATCCCAATCAATATATATGATAGCGTCTCTATTTGAGGGAACAAATTCTTAAACTGGACGTTAAGAACATGCAAGCAATCAATCAACCATACACTAATTTTCATCGCGTGGTCGTCAACTTTAAAAGTCATCTTCGATTTTACTTTTATTTTAGATTTAATTATATCCACAGAATAAACGAAAATTATCAATTCTGTGCCTCCTTACAAAAGGCAGGTTTAAATGTAAATGTAAGCGTCGATTGTAAAAGTCAGCGCTTCTCGTAAAATTTCCAATTGTAAGATCATTATAAACATACTGAATTGTGTACGGATTTTTTTTACGTTCATGATAGAGAATAAAGAGTAACTGTGACCGGTTGACAGAGGATAAATACCCCCCCTCCCCCCCCCCCGACACCGCATTTAATCTCTGATGTTTTTCAAGGTCTGGGTTTGATCTTCTTTCAAACTGTATTGAGTCAATAGACTTTTAAAGGAGTAAATACTGTAAACCAACTTTTATTCGCGTGCGAGAAATTTTCGCGAAGTTCGCGAGAGCCTCGTCGTCGCGAATATTTCTCGCCGCGAACCGGTCCTTATAGTATATTTGTCTATTTAAAAACAGATGCAGAAAGGCTTGATCGCGAAAATTAATCGTCGCGAACTAGTTTATCCCTGGTAAATCGCGAAATAAAGTCGTCGCGAATAAAAGTTGGTTTACAGTATGTTAAGAGCCGATTTTGGCCCCCTATAAATCAACATTTTAGAATGATATACAGATATGTTTAAATGATATTTATTTTGTAGAAGAGATTATATTAGAAATATTGCCAATATATTTTTCATATTTGTAGACAAGTGCAAATTTAATATTTTTACATCATGTACATCAATTTCCAATTTTATCAGAACATAATTTTTATTATGTTTTGGAGCCGAGGCTGACGTCATTACTCGTCACGCTGCAGCCAGAACCACATGTCTGAGTGAACGTCGGCCTTAGCATAGCATTTTGTATTTTTGAAGTACTAAAGTTAAACAGATATCACTGCTGCCTTTTGGTTTTACACGTTAAATAAAGTGGTGAACCTTATAAGAGTCTTGTCACTTGGCTACATATTTATAGGCACTCACTGGCTGTAAATGTCGTGATAAATAATGCTATTTTTGTTATCTAACCAAAAAAGCCAAAAACATGCCGTTGTCTTGATGGTTTTTTTCTTATGGGAACCAAAGAGCGCAGTTTAGAACATGAATAATTTTTCTGTCACGAATAAGTATTGGATAGATACATCTTTGGCAAAAATTTAAAGAATGTTCTAGTTTGCGCTCAATATTTTCTGGAAGAAAAACTGCTTGAAAATAAGCAGTTTTATACAAATTATGCTAAAATAGCGGGATACCGTGAACTGTATGATGTCATATTTCTAAATTAACGGCATTTTGATCAAATTGATAATGACTTATAAAGGTCACATGTATAGCTGTACAGATTAAAGCTATACATATAGTAAAATTAAGTAACATATAGTAAAAATCTATAGCTGTTCAGATTAAAGCTATACATATAGTAAAATTAAGATATTCATTTTAAGGGGCCATTTGAGACTCTTATCATATATTACTCTTTGATTTCTGTTTGTTTTATTTATGTTTCCTACATTCACTAAATACAACTTAATGTTAATCGTCATTTCAAGAATGTTCGGGGTAAATTTGCATTTTATAGACTAGTACATTTCACATACCTGGTACTCGTAAATAATCCGTTACGTTCCTTTAAATTACAGTAATATAAACTTCACAAGAGACTCTGAACAAAATGTCCACCACAGTGGTTGTCCAGTAGCCTGTTGCAGGAACAGGGAATCCCCTGATGGTGAGTGGTATAGACGGCCACAGAAACTGGACAACAGGACTCTTTGATTGCTTCTCAGACATCGGTTCATGTGAGTGATTATTGCTATATCATTTTTTAGTATGTCCGTGCAATATGTATGTATATAGAGCATCATGTCGTTGCTATTCTTTTGAAACACCATGTATAGGTGAAACACAAGAACATTGAAACTGTAATAAAACTTTAAAGGAAAATACAATAACAAGCGGTTGCTAATTAATAGGTTGAGTGTTATTCACAAAATAAAAGGTGATACTTGCATTTTCTTCTAGTAGTCTCTTAATGAAAAATAAAACTAATTTACTTTTGATACATACATAATAATCCATACAATGCCATACGTAAATTGCATAGCACTCACACATAAAAATGGACTTAAGATTACAAACGTCTCTAAACTATGTACTATACAAGTGAATAATTTGTATAGTACATAGTTTAGAGACGTTTGTGTCATAACACATCTTGTAGCAGTTCATTTTATCATTCACTTTATGGCCTTACTGTGTCCCCGGGGGAACAGTCTTGATGAGGAGCAGAATAAGAACCATCGGAGGCATCCAGGTAATTATAATTGATTTTCAACACAAAATATTCTTTTTCTTTAGAGTATATAAATAGATTAAATAACCAGTAAGAATAGCTAATAGTTAAGATATAAGATTTTTTTAATTTTAATTTCCCGGACTAATTTCATTTGTAGTTACGTATATTAGATAATTGTTTGTCCTTCTCGGGCTTATTTATAGGAATCAGCCTGTAATGACTGTTTAGTGTTGTCATTCTGTGGCGCATGTGTAGTGTGTCAGATGCAAAGGGAGCTCGACAACATGGGAGTCTTATAAAAGCCGCGTCACCTTAACGTCTTTTTTCTTCTTTTTGTATCAAATACAAAAGTTTACATGATGTTTAACCATAACTTATCCATATTTTTTATGGATAAACAAACTTATCTAAATATAGATTAAATTGTTGAATGTATTCGTTCATCTCTTGATGTTTTTGTCGTTTTTTTCTTCACATGCCTAGTTTTAATGATTCCCTTTCACATGCCATTATCGCTCTTGGTTACTAAGTTTTCAACTTTCAATTTTCTGGAACATTGCTTGTCATATTTAATTCAAATATATTATGTTATGGGACCTCATCATCTTAGCTTACCATAAATATCTTTTATTGATTAAATATCCAAATGTCAGACTTTGTTGGTTTTTTTTTTCAATTTCTAAAAGAAAATATCGAATAAAAAAAATTGAAATAAATATTATCTGTTGAAAAAAAGTTTAATATAAATGGATCTACATGTGGAAATAAAGCCAATGCAGGTTTTTTAAAATTATGATGGATTTTGAATTATTTCTACCTCAGTTGAATATAAAAAAACTGAAGTGCTATACATGGGATGCAAATAATATACATGTGTATACTGGAATTCAAACAGTTTGTGGAAAACTCTGATCTACTGTTTTAATGTCTTGAAGTATGACGCCTCAAGTGTAATGGGGTGCGTTAACTTATATTCTTCTTTCCTGGATTGGCAATAATTACCGAATTTTGTTAATAACAACCAGTAAGAAACATTAAACTTATGAGAAAGCTACATTCAAGTTTGTTCAAATGATGATCCCGGGTCTAGGGAGGACCAAAATGGATTTACGTAGAAGAATGAATGAAAAATCAAGGAAAAAATGCATGTTTAGTGATAAGCATATGGGAGCATCCACAGGAAGAAGGATATGGAGATAACAAACAGTATTCAATATCAAAGTCCAAAGTCCTCCGAAACATCAAAGGTGGGATCAGATGCCATGGAGGAGTGAGCATCCTCTGCTGATCGGTCACACCCGCCGTGTGCTCTTTGTAAGCGAAGATTCAATTTTTGAAATTCTGGAGTTGTAGGCTATTAGACTAATAATTCCGAATTATAACTTGAAATATGTTGAATAGTAAAAAAAATATTCCAATTGTACTTCATTTCAGAAATAAATAATTTTTTAAAGATTCATAAGGTTATGAATTACGACGCTTCACACCGGCATATTTCATGAAACGCATCCACGCTTCATGTTAAATATACCGACCTGAAGCTTGTATAGTTCATCATATACCTCTTGATCATGAATCTTTAAAAAATAAAATATTTTCTTATATTAAGATTTTTGTTTGATGAGTTGCCTCTGATTAACGCCATTCAACTGTTATTTTTAAAACAAAGCAGATTGCACTATTGTTTTGACGTCAAGTGCGGTATTATGAAGTGCCGACAAATTGAATACCGCTCGTTTGCAAAGTTGAATAACGCAAACGAATATTGCGAGGAGAAAAAGTGACAAACGAATTTTGAACGTGCATTTGTTGAATTTCTTCATTAATCTGACAGGATTATAGTTATTTACTAAATTGAGTCAAAATATTGTACATTCTGGTCTTCCTAGAGCATTGAAAATGCATAAAGTTCCCACTGTGTATTCTAACACGCAATGACAACGACCATAGATTTCTAATTGGTTTCATAAAACAATTACATTTAAAGAAGCTCTAAACACTAGCAGAAACTGCTTCGTAGACTTGGAGAAAAACATGTCATATAAAGGTGTGCATATCGAGACTATTTATTTCATTTTAACATAGGGTACCTGCCTTATTTCCATAGGAAAAATGTTAAATGACAAGGGACTATTTGTGTGCAGATATCACTGATCTTTATTTACATTGGATAAATTACTGATCATAATGAATTCAATAACTTTTCACGGTCTTATATAAGTAATAGAAATGGTTTAATCTATTACTAATCGTGTAATTAACTTTCAATGACATTTTTAACAACTTACTTCTAAGGACAGAACACTCCAACTGCATAAAACTTCCCTATTAGTAGATTTCTTTAGTGTGCAGTGTTTAGAGTTTCCTTAATATAAATATGAAAAACAATGAATAGACTTCATTGTGCATTTATTTTTCTCAAAGGGATATCATGATTTTAACTCTTTCTAATGGAGAGTCCCTACTAGAGTTGCTCGAAATGGAGCATTGAAAATTTTAAACTATCACGGTTCATTTACTTCAGAAGATTTTCGATTGGAGCAATTATGGCCACTAGTTGATTGGTTAATGTGAATGCTTGCAACAATGTTTTGACAAATTCTGGCTACATTTTCGTTGGGTTTACTTGCTGAAAAAATACACCTCTAACAAATGTGAACAAATAAAACTAATAATGATAAAAGATTATATAAATCAAAGGAAACATTGCTTACAACAAATAAGCTTTAATAAACGTTTAGACGGATATCATTAATATTTTCACCAACATACATATAGAAACAGTTTTATCTGTCCAGTAATCCAATATATAAGTTCATCACAGACTGAATTATCATCTTATTTAAGATGGTAAAGGACGTAAATAACATACAACCACAAAAGTGCTTGACAGATTTAATCTGATTATTTATTCTTCTTCGGAGCATTCTCGAGTACAACTTTACTGACCTTCAAAATAAAAAAAAATGCATTAATGATTACAAAAGTGGTACATGTATTTTGAATTAAATTGTTTTGTTTAAATCTTCTCATTCCATTTTCTATAGATACATGAATCATACCTCCTTCCCGAACTCCAGAGACCTCTGTGTTTCATTTTGACACTCGATGGAAGGATTCACATTTACAATCATTAGTGTTTTACTGTTTCCTCCCAGTGAATTTTTCAGCAAAAGTGTAAGTTTGGAATTTCGGTATGATGTAAATGAATCCTAAAAGAAAAATAAGGGTGTGTTCCATGCAATTTTATTTAAAACAACCTGAAAAAGATATCAATTATTTATTCTTTGTTTAGAAATGCTCATAATGCAAGACAGGAAAAATATAAACAATCATATTTAGTAAAACGAAAAAAAAAATGGAAATAAAACATGAACCATCATTAGCAGAGTAATCTGAATTGTGATCAAGCCTGATATTGAAGTTTTATAGACACATGAAATAAATTTTGCGATTGTGTAAGTATTGTCCTTTAGATATTCAGAACCAACTTGATTTCTTCTTCGAGTTTCGTGAACTAAGAGGGCATGATTTGATTCTCTTTTGGTAAAGATGATCAAGATGAAATTAATTACCGGCTAAATATTCATGAATGTAGAGGATGAATAGTAAAAAAAAACTACATAAACTCTTAAGTCTTATAAAAATAAAATGTACATATGTATAATGAATTGAAATCAATTTAAATGCTCTGTGGATGATTAAACATAATGAATAATATCTTAGATTTTTTTTTAAAGATTTGTTGATTTCTTTCAAAAAGTGAATAAAAATATCTCTATACCTTTGATCGCAGACTACGCAAAACTTTAGTAAGTTCCAAAAGACTAAGGTTGATATTTTTTGTTTCTTGACCTGTAGATTTTGTGGCGGAGGCAGCTAGCTTCTCACTGCCAGCTAGGTCTACTAGGGTTAGTGTACCTGATAAATTTAAAACAACAGAAAATTCCGTCAGAAAAGACGATTTCTTCGATTCATTAAAAGGTCTCATTGGCATTATTTGGAATACGAATTGTTTTAAATAAAAATATCCTATACAGAAAGATTTCATAAAAGACAAATTATTTAAGCTTCTGAGTATTAAAAATTTTATAATAATAAATATTTTAAAAAAAACAAACAATTGAAACATTTTGCATAAAACATTTGAATAAAAGAAGGTGAGTAAAAATAAGAAAACAATATACTCGTCATAAAAATTATTTCTTTATTATGACAAATTAGGTAGGTTTTATTTTACACAGTAGTTTTTTTTTATCGTTTTCGGTTTGGATTTTATTCCAGATAGGAATCGGTAAAATCATTAATTACATTTACCTGAACAGGTATCTCGTCTACCCTCCACATCCTCCACCTTTCCCGTCATTTCCAATCTAAATATAGCGTGGCTTCTTGAGGATCTCTCATTTTTCTCTGTTTTTGCCGAAGTTCTATTTTTTGAACATTTTTCGTAAAATTTCAATACCTAAGGAAGATCAAATTTATATAAATCTTGGATTCCGTTCAATATTTCAGTTAAACTAATTGACTATTTACTTATTCCTCCTCAAACGAAATCTTTGTAATATAAGAATAGATGGAATAGTATTCTGACTATGATCTTTTGCGTATAGCGAACCTCTTGTTCATCACAAACGTCTTTTTCAGTGAGATTTTTCACTTCTGCTTTGCCCTTATCTCCATCTGGAAACCCGATTTGATGGATCTCATTATCAGTGGCCCCTTTTGATAGGTCACGAATTTTTTCATTGTAGAGTTCCATATACGATGCTTTTAAATGATACTGAAAAAATATAGAAATGTCAGAATTAAACATGTTTTTGCAGAAGCTTGTTTAGATTTTTAAACATTTATTTAATATAACATCATTGCTTAATTTATTATTAACAACTTCAAAGGCTTACTTTATTCACTTATCCAGTATCATGAATTTAGCATTTCTATATGATTTATGTAAATTTCTTCTATTTTCTTCAAACTATTGACTTCACTCGTTGTTCGTAATCTTTTGCATTTCCCATTTGTATTTCATTTCAAGAGGCAAGTAAATCGAGAAATATATAATAGCTATCTTTTCTATAATTTAGGATTTAAAACTTGAACCCCTACCTTCCACCCACAAACTTTCAGTTCCTCAATATCTTTAAACACTTGTTTCATTGCTCTGGGTATTATTCCCAGGCTTTCATCTCCTGTTTTATTATTCCAGTTTGCTCCCTCCATTGTGTATGTTTTACCAGAACCAGTTTGTCCATACGCAAATATACACAAATTGAATCCATCAAGAAAACTCTGTAAGATATAAAAGACAGACACAATAAAAAAATAATTATATTGAAATTTTAAAAAAAAGGTTCATTTTCAGACCCTAGAAGTGACAATAAGATTTTTTTCTACCTGTTTTGTTTTCAAAATACATTTACACACCCAAACAATCATGCTTTAAAACATAAGTAGTGGTAGTCTGATAGTATTCAGAGGACGATTAATTATAATACGATTTTCTCGTTATAATTTTAAGTGAAAATTCTCACTAAATTAGTTTCTTTTTAAAAGATTTACCCTGATTAACTCTTGTATTTCGCTGTAAACCTCCTCCTGCGTGCTCTTTTCTCCAAAAACTCTTTCAAAAGTGTACTTTTTCTAAAAAAATCAAAAACAATAAAATAAAACAACAATAAAAAATAAAATCTGTATTTAGGACACAAAGAACACAATAAAGAGTAAGAGTAAGAAAGGTACTCTGATTTCAATACTTGAAATAGAAAAAAAATCAAAGTATTTAATTCTGATTTCTTGAAGTAAACTAAGGCCATAAGAATTTATGTACATGATCAAAATCTACAGTAAAGGCTACAAAAAGGGGCCTAATTTTACCTAAATCTAGAATAACTGTTTTTTCAAATTACATCAGAATGAAATTATTTGCGATTTTGAGATATCTAATATATATACAGGGTGTCCCAAAACATATGTTACACTATTAAATTGTTATAAAAAAATTTTATGCCTCAAGTTATATGAATGAAATTTATAATGCATAATAAAATTGTTATAAATTTTTTGTCAAGCTAACATGTGTCACAGTTTCCTTATTTGTTATCAATATTTTTTGTTTTGAATAACATGTCATTTTAAAACATCTTCTAAATGAGGTCCCTTTAAATTAACACTGTTTGAACACGATTTCTGATGGTTTTTTTTTTATATATATATCAAACTTAAATGTAACACTCTAACAGTTTGGATGGTTTTCCACATTAAAATTGGATTTCACCAAACAACAGAGTTTAAGATTTTCTTTAAAAGCATTGTTAAAATTGAAGTGGGCTTCATCGGTAAACCATACTTCTGTTAATTTTTCAGGGTCGGGTCTATATAATTAAAATCCAATGGGCAAACCCAAAATGACTTCTAATTTCTGTCTCTTTCAAATGCTGCATTACACTTATCTTGTAAGGAATCAATTTTAATAAAAATTTTATGGACACTAAATTTATTATAGGTGCTACATTGTTAATACAGAACCCGTTTAAGTTTTTTTTAAGTTTCAGTAATAACTCTATCAATGAGATTAATGTTCTCTGTGATACAGGTAACCTTAATGCCAGAATTAAGTCATGTGTCATTTATGGTGCCTTTAACTTCAAACTCCTTCATAAATTTGTAAATAAGTATTCTTTTGAATAATTCCATTATAGGATGTTGTTTTTCCATGGTTCTAATGACTAAAATAGAAGATTTAGACCCATAGTAAAGTTTTACAAATTATACCAGCTGTTCACATGAAGGTTCCATATTAAAAAATATCATGACGTCATAAGGACATCATAATTACCTTAATTTTTAATAGAATTTCTCAAATGTTTGTCAGATAAAATGTATACTAATACACTTCATGTTGACAAAAAATCTTTGTGAATGCTTTTGGTTTGATAAAGTTGTATATGATTGAAAGTGTAACATATGTTTTGGGACACCCTGTATATAAAACTAAATACTAACAATTAAATTAAAAAAGCAGGATATGATGATTGCCCTTTTCAATGTGACCTCATTTCAATACTATTACTTCTTGTGACAATTGTGTATAGATTTATAGTTTATTGTATTTGTTTTATATCAAGAGGGTGCTAAAAAGAATCACCCCTTCTTTTACAGAAGGTATTTTCTAGCTACAAATATTTCCAATATAACAATTAGGCACCTTAAGTGTGATTTTTCAATTAATTTGATTAAATGTTTAATGCCAGTTTCATATAAAATGCGAAAATAGTAGAAAATAAATAGAAAAACGTAAAAAAAAAAAAAAAGAACATTACAATAAAAAAATTAAACATATGAGAATTTTTTTCTTATTTGTTTCTTCAATTTGTAAAAAGAAATTAATTTCCACACTGGTTTTCAATATAATCCAATTTACAGTGAAGGAATACTTTATTATTACCTCAGTTTCGATCAGTTTAACAGCCTTGCTGTCCGATGTTATGCACTTTGGGCCATCACAATCTCTTATTCGACAGAGTACCCGAATATTTCCCTAAAATGAATTTACCTTTGCGTATTCATAATATGAAACTTGCATGTGCATTATAAACTTTTCATGCCCACTATTATTTTAAATAAATTAAGTGCAATATCTCTTTAATTCAATAATTAAAAAACAGCATTACATAAAAATGTTTTTAATTATAGATTTAAGTTTTCCGAATTTTCCTGTCAAGTTTGTATGTCAACATATACCAATTATTTTTAAAGAAATTAATTCATTATCTTTCTTTTTCATACCTTTGCCTCCTGTAATTTGTTATTAAGTTGTTTGCATTCTTGATTTTTCTCTATCACCTTCTTCATTAAAGCAATTTTGTCTTCCTCCTGCATTTCTTTCTGTTGTTGTAACATTTTAATCTCTCTAAACATTTCCTCTAATCGAGCATCATCTATTCGAATGGGTAGCATAATAAATATATTTAGTTTTCAAAATTCACTGAGCTAATTTTCTAATTTTCGGTGTTGGTAAATTAAATATATACAAATTACGTTTATTTTTATATATACGACGTATAAATAATGAAATAAATAGTATTGTATTCTTACATTGCCTTTTCAATTCTTCAATCTCTGCATTATGCTTCCTCTCTTTTTCGTTTTCTATATCTTCTATATCTTCTTGTTTTTCTACAACATATTTCAATGATGTAATTTTTCAGACAAAAGATAAATGGATGTTCAATGTACTAAAAAGCTTTCTGTGTAGCTTTCCATCAGAAAACATTTTTAATTACCTAACAATTTCTCTCTTTCTTCCAAGTGATGTGTATTGTCTGTAAAGCAAGTAAGTATATCAACATCAGCTAATTATTTAAAAGTATATACGAAACTGTATTTTTAGACTAATTTCAAATGTCTTGATTATCGACGATTTTAATTCTAATGCATTGGAAAGGTTCTAACAAACCTAATGAAAGTGGTCTTTGCTCGAGATCCAGTCCTAGAAATACAATAAGACATGAAAAAAGTACTTTTCAGTAAATCTTAAAGAACACAATGTTGATTTTGATTAGAGTTCCAATTTAAGGAATATGTCATTTTTTGCATTACAGATAATGGCCGTAATAAAAACATTCATCACTATGTTTGTTCTGTACGCTGCATTACACAATATCCCCTGCTATGTCAAGTTCCTTTTTATATGGCGAGTGGAAAGAATGTAAGTTGAGAAAAAAATTTTAAAATGAAAATACGAGGAAATCCTATCTTAAATAGCTGGAATTAATTTTCCTAAAAATGGGAAAAAAATCATTTCTAAAAATATTTTCTTCATTAAAAGCCAACATACAGATTCATTTCATACAGATTGATTTCAACATATTCATTTATTTATGTGACTTTGTTACTGAAATTTCACGTCCACTCACCTTGATTGGTCTGTGTGGGTCTTTTTCTTCTTTTCCATACTAAAATACTTATGCCTATTCCAATAATGATGAGGATTACAATAATTACAGGTAGGATAATTGGTAAAATAGAGGTATCATCAGTGTCAACAGATTTACTTCTGAAAACAGAATAAGGACAGTTTAAATATTCTGCTGAAATATATTTTGTAATGCTAGTTACATGTAACTGCCTACTCTCAAAGAACAAAAGAACATACGAAGATAATTGTGTTTTCAATTTCAATTCTATTATTCCTTGTATCAGCAGATACATCAGATTAACATAGTAGTTACATACAATATACTTAATTGCCATGTAAACATATATCACAATGTATTTACACAAGCATTAATAAATGTACATATCTATACATACATATTTATGTACTACATGTATCATACTAGTGAATCAATATTACTCATTATTATAATAAATTTATTTTACTTTCTCGTAAATGACAAGCTTCTCTTAAAAAATTTCCCAGACCTCTTAATTCCCTTACATTTCGAACACTTAGTAACTGTATTAATTTATATACACTACTATTTTGATAATAATATTTTTTAATATATTTCTTCCTTAAATTTTCATATGTTGGACATTGTAAAATTTGATGAAATTCATCCTCTATTTCATTTAGAGTACACAATATGCATTTTCTGTCATTTCTATTGGTATTTGTGTATCTACCCCTTTCAATATATAAGTTGTGATCAGACATCCTAAACTTTGAAATTATTTCTCGATTTTTAGCACTTAAAGGTTTATTTAGGTAATATTGAAGGCAATGTGTATCTGTAAGATATTTGTACAAATTAGCTTTTGGCATATTGTCGATTTCTGATCTTAATTCTTGGATGTAAATATCTTTCATTCTCTGTTCAATAAGTTTGATAACATATTTATCATCATAATTTGTATTCATCAAGGAATTTAGTCCTAATCTATCCAGTTCTGTTTTAATATTTACAATCCACTCATCATTTTCCTGTACCATTTCTTCATGACATGTCTTAAGGATACAATTTTCTGTTTTTCTTAACTTTAACCAATATTTCATAATTTTTATTTTCCTTAAAATGTGACATGGAAATCTACCAAGTTCATGATAAACAAGGTTGTTACTAGCATTCTTTTTTAACCCTAGAATATTTTTACAGAACATAATATGGACTTTTTCGATATCAATTCCTTTGTTAAAACCCCATACTTCCGACGCATACAAAAGTATACTATTGACATAGGTGTAAAAAAACAGAGCATTTTGTTTGGACGTTAAAGTAGTAGTCATTTAGTTTACTTTGAATACTAAAGAGAGCTTTTCTTCCTTGCTCTGCAAGCTTCTGTTGTGCTTTAGTAAATTTACCATTGTAATTTAATAATAACCCGAGATAATTAAACTCATTTACTATTTCTAGTTCTTTTTTGTCGTAAAACCACTTTTCATTTTCTTTTATTTTTCCTCCATTTCTAAAAACCATTATTTTAGTTTTATCTGCATTTACAGTTAGATTCCATTTCTTGCAATAGTTAAACAAAGAGTGAAATTACTAGAATACTGATAAATATTAGACATAAACGATCGAATGAAATGAAACTTCACACATAAACAAAACAAATACTTTTACACAGTATACTGAGCTAATTTAAAATTTCTTGAAAGTAGCATTACGAAGGATGACAACGTCCACGAACTTTTCGAACTACCCTCGTATATATAACAGAATCAAATAATAAAGAATAAATAGAATAAAATAAACGCAGAACATCGAAATCTGCTACAGTGCTCATATTAGATATTTACTAATCGTATGCAAGCATAATAAATGTTCTTTAATATACATGTATTGCCTGTGATAATAAACTATCTAATCCGCGCACTATGACAGTTTTTGATGTATTACGTATTTCTTTTTTGTAACATCAGTATTCCAGTATAATTATATAAACTCAACTCAGAGTTAACGATTTTTTTAATCATAGAATTTTTTAAATGTAATACATGTATATAGATATAACAAAAGGTATTCTATGTCTATGAAAAATCTATGAAAGTCTATGAAAAGTCAAATTTAAAATAAGAACAGACAGACACGGACCTCCAAAACTTTAGCGATGGGATCAGATACCCTGGAATAGAGAGCATCCCCTGCCTACCGCTCATACCCGCCGAGTGCAACTTGTCATGATCGGAAAATAAAGGATAAGTCTGTCGTCAATTCAATGCGTAAATGGACCAACAATAAGTATATAAAAAAAAAAGGCCAGTCAGTATTTGACCCCATGATATATCGTATTTGCTGACAAGGTCATTGTATCGACAATAGAAGTTACGAAATGATTACTGTAAACGAGACTGCTGATAATCTTGTTTCATCAACTTTTGCCAATAATTTACCTAGTTTTAAAAATTGTTCATACGTAGGGGATGCTCTTGCGTATCGAATCGACTAAATATGTAAACTCCTTATACATGTGATGAAGGTATTGATGCATAAGTAAGGGACATCTGCTTCATATGAATACAAAAATAGGTCTGCTAATAACAACGGTCAATTCGTACCCATGGGAATTCCAATAGATTGTTAAAAGACATGGTCTCCAAAAACAACATAGATGTTGTTAATCAGAAACTCAAGCATTATTTTGATGTCAACTTAGGAGTTCAATCAGAATCTTTTAACAAAATAATTTTGCAAATGAACAATGACAAGGAAGGTAATTTTACGAGTTCCATTTGTATTAAAATGCAGCTCTAAATCTGAATTAACCCTTAAAAGAAAAATAAAAAAATTTACTTTATCTTTTTATTCATACATACATGCTTTCAGAAGATCCGAATGTGGAATTCGTCGACATGTTTGTAGGACTACGATTCGGAGCGACAGTTGCATATACCTTAATAAGATCATAACATGCAGGATCTGCAGAATTAAAAAAAAAACTTCAACATGTTCATAGACTATATATAAACTTTTTGACTTTTTCTAAGCTATATTTAGTAAAACAAGTTATTTTCTTCTTGGTCATTTTTTTTTAGAATCTAAACAAAACCTACAAAACAAAACATTCAGGAAGGTTAGTACGGCTTTAGGAGAGTCACTTACACTTAAAAGCTTCAGTCGAATGATATCGTGTTGGACAGGGAGTGGTAAATTTATTACAGTCTGCAGCATACAGGTTACATATTCGGTTCTCGTAAACATTGAAATATGCACAGAAACCTACAAATAACTCATTTCATATATTAAATACATCATTTAAATAGAAAGAGGTATGTATCTTATTACAGATACGGAAGATGTCGTCGTTTAATATTAAAGAAAATTTGAAAAGGGTTGAAATATTTTTTGTGCAATGAATTTGTTTGATCTCGTGCTTAATTTCTGTGAATCTTTTCCGTAGATTAAACCATTACCACCAAGCTCATTTCCAAGTGAATTTTTAAAACCTTGTTTTCAAAATAATTATTTACATTTGAGAAAAATATGCTATTAGAAACATGAAACGAACGGCATGACGTATAACAAAGGAATATTCTGTTGTTGTTTTTTTTTATTTCAAAAATACACAACGCCCTTTTTTCTGTTGAAAGTGCTAATTCTAAAGCAACCTGCCTCTAATTATCAGTATAGCAACATCGTCCAAAGGTAATACAAGAAATAAAATGTAAATTGTTTATATTTTTTTATCTGCTCCTTTCCTAAAATGATACAACTGTAGCAGTAGCTGAAAAAATTCACTGTTTTTACACCAATGAAACCAATTATATGAGGTTGTCAGCTTCCTCAAAAACCCGGGTTGAATTATTTAGATTAATATTAGATGTGTACCGGCTATCAATAAAAAAGGTAAAGAAAATTGTGACTTGTCTTACATATATACAGTATACTCTTAATTACCTTGCATGAACATCGGTTCAGCGCAGACTTCTACAGTAGCTGTCATTTCCTTGGTGATGAGGCAGTGATACCTTGACGTGGGACAGACGGAGTCACATTTCTTACGTATAGCTGCTACATTCCACTCCGCCTCAGAACGAGGGCAATCCGGAACAATCGTAATTGTTTTTTGTAGATCAGTACAAGAAAAACCAGAACTAAATACCTAGATGGAATTGGTACGTCAACAAATGTAAACAACATACCATTACGTAAAAAATCTCTCATATTTTTTAGCTACTTACCTGACAAAATATGATGATAAAAAGAAAGGTTGCTATCTTCATTCTAGGACAAGTTGAAATCTAAAAGAAAGTAACACTTTACATTGTTAAATATTGAAAAGCCCTTCTTACTTCTCCACCTTTTTTTAAGCTAATGCTGCATTAGAGGTGATTTTGTACAAGTATTAAACTTTCGTTCTCAAAGAGATGATGGTTAAATATTTCCGTTTCTAATTTTTTTCTTTGTGATTACTCTTTAAAAGTTGTCGTAGTTTATTTCTTGATAATTCTGCCGGAATGTAAATTAGGCAGGTCGATAGGTCAGGAGCTAAGGAGGCCTAATGCGCATGTAAATCTCGTGCGCATCTGTCTCTTTGTCTGACGCTAAGGAGGCCAAATATGCATGTAAATCTCGTGCGGCTGCCTATGTGTTTGACGTCAGTGGGCGAGGACTATTGAAATTGGCATGGAAGTCCTCGTGTAATTTAAGTCTATGTCTACATTTTTAAAGT